GGATGGGACGGCACAATATCCTGTCGTAGTGCCACGAGAGGCTTGTGGTGGCACCGACCTGGCACCTGGTGTACGGAGTTACGGCGTTCGAGACAAAAGTCTAGACCGATTTGATGCCTTCTGCTTCACTTCGTCCATTAGAGGTAATAATGTTTGTATATATTTAGTGGAGTTTTTAATATACCTTCATATAACTTCATCCAGTCCTGGCTTACGCTGGTTTGTTTCCGTAAAATTTTGTTAGACAAATATTTACAATTTTCCATAGTTGTGCTTTCAACAGGTGTTTTACATTTTTAAATCGGACAAAGATGAATTAGTGGTAATTTCGGCTGCATGTGGCTGCAATTGCTCATTCTGGAAAATGTTCCTATTTTAAAAATATAAATTGAGGATGACAAGTTGGATGAACCTGCCAACAAGGATTAAAAATGGCCTTCTCCCTTGTTTTAATCAGTCATGCATATGTTTTAAAGCTGTTTGCCTTGATATGCCAGTTGTATTTTGTTACCTTGGATCAATTATTGGCATTCATTTCTGAGGTTAAGTCACGATTATTTTTAAGTCACCAAATATGATGTGACAAGGTACCTTATGTCTTTCTTCAATGTCAGGAGAGGTCTACTTCTTGCAACATCCCATCAAACTAAATTTCACAGAGGCAGCGGAGGTCTGTCAGAACGACGGAGGTCGTATTGCTAAAGTTGGCCAGTTATACGCAGCCTGGAGGTTTGTGGGGTTGGACCAGTGTGATGCGGGCTGGTTGGCTGATGGTAGTGTACGTTACCCAATCATCCAACCCAGGATGAACTGTGGTACATCAGAACCAGGGGTGCGCAGCTTTGGCTTTCCTCCGAAGCATTTAAAACATGGCGTGTATTGCTACAAAGTCCACTGGTAAAATGTACAATTCATTTTAAATGTATAAACACTTCTGTGAAAACCACAGTGAACAGTACTTCTGTTTCTATACTACTGATATTCAAATCGTAATAATGTGTTTTTTATTGTGTCTTGATTTGATTTGAAATGTCCTGGAATTCCTACCAAATTTACACTGCAATGGCACAGAGGCGCTTCTGAAGTGGCATTTACACAAACTGTTTAATGCTGCTCAGAGGTAGCATGAATGCATTTACACAGCAAATACAACTGTGTTTTGATATTAGAGACAGTGGTGGGTCAGAGCTGGCTTAATTTAGTCTGGCTTTTATGCGACATTATGTCTTCACACAGAATTTTGAGTAGGCACAGAGCAGCCTTAACTCAGCTGTGTAAAGTTGCCTTAAAATGTTTTACTGTGTTGGAAAATTACATTTCAAGTGCTAATTTGGATATTTACACATTAAAACGTAAAAAGGTTTAAACTAATTTTGTGAACGTAATTTCGTTTATACAGCATGTAGGCTACAGTTCTACAATGTTTTTTTTTTTTTTAGGGCTAAAGCCTGAAATTGGTGGTGGGTCATTCTTTAAAGACTTTTATGATCTGATTGCTTGTATTATGTAGCATTTTAATGCAAATAATCAGTTAGTCGGTGCCATCTGCTGGTATCTTATTTGTATGCATGACTTCTTACTATTATCTGAGACGTCATCATCCAAAAAGCCAGATTTCCTGTCAATAAATAGTTTTTCCCAACAACAATTCTGTATGTGTTTACTTAAGTCATTTTAAATGTTCAGACCGCCCACTAAATCACCTAGACAGTGCCTGTTTGTGTTTTTGAAACAAGTCAGCCTTGTCCCGTCCTCTGTAGATAAATATGACATCCAGGTGAGTTTCTTATCCTGACCAGCAGGGGGCGCGCCAAAGTGAGTCAAAGAAGTGAAACAACAACAGCAACACTCGGTTCAAGAGCAATCCAACATCCTTCATGCAGGTAAGCAGGTAGAGTTTATCTTTAGTATTAAGCCAATTATGGGGGGAAGGGGGGTATGATTATCCCACCCTTTCCACAGGATTTCATGATCCCTTGGCGTCAAAGATGTACCGTATTTACACCTGCTTCCTAAACATGGATTTTAGGCGGGGGAGGGAGTAGCACATGAAAAGCCAGCAGTGTTCCTCAGCCTGGATTTTTCACTCTGTTAAATGCACATAAAGATGCACAGTGTTGGGTAAGAGAGGTAGGTAATAGGTTTTTCTTTTCCCTTGAGAAAATGTTATGAAGTAGGCCCTGTTTTGTTTGCCGTATAATTGAGGTCTTGGATGTTGAGTAACTTAATGTTGGGACATGTCAACATGAACTGTCCTTTTTTGACCTGTCTCTGGACAATATATGCTTGATACTATGTATGTAGTACATTAAAGATTCTGTATACAGTGTAAATACACACAGTGGCCCCAAAAAATATTGCATCATTTGTTGCAGATGCCACTTGATTTGATATTTTCTATCTAAAGCAGTAATGTACTTGTCCAAACACCATTTGGGTGCACAATGTACAGCATGAAAATATAACAGAATCTCTAAATTTGTGATTTTTTTTTCAGCCCTGGAAACAATGAAATGTAAAAAAAAAAAAAAATTGAAACGTCATGGAAATTTGTGTTGATTTTGCCATTGTTTGTTCTGTCTCCACAGAATCTCTGTCTAGTTCGTTAATCACAAATAATTGAAAATCTCGTGGACAAGTTCTGGAAATAGATTGGTCAGGTTGTGGGAACCCTGCATAGAGTAAACATTAAACATAATCCCTATCATAATTTGGGGTAAAATGACTGTTTATACTGTATATTGACTAAATAGAGGCTAAGCATACATTTCTCTTAACATTTCTTCTCTTTCTCTCACATAAACTCACCATACAACCACTTAAATGTGAAGTGTGTGTTTTTTTATGTTAAAATGTTTTCCATGCAGTTAAACATGGAGAAAGAACTACAAGTAAGTCATTGGTAGGTTTGTTTCCCAGAAAAGTGAACACAGTGTAGTAGGTCTGTGTGTTTAAGCATCCTGATCAGCCCAACAACAGCAACAGTGGCTCATCCAGTGGCAGAAATTTTGGGCGGGACTGATTATTTGACCAATGGCAGGCGGAGGGAGTCTTTAGAAAAACTTTTTGAAAATAGCCATTATTTTTGCAATACAGTTTGTTGATGCTAGTGGCACAGAAATTATACATAAACTTTAATTTAATCCCATTTGTAGTAGGTTTTACAACTCTTTGGTATTAAAAGAAAAATACCTTTATTCACATACATTTAGTCTGTTTATTTTAGGGGTACTAAGACAGATATGAGCTCAGGGTTTAGCTGACAGTGACAGAGTGCAAAATGAATGAGATACATATTGCTTGGAACAGTGTGCAATTGCTCTTTTGGAAGCGATTGTCAATCAACGTTGTAGCGCAAACTATGTGTGTTGGCTTATTTGATCATTAATATTTTAACTTTTTTAGGCAATGTAAAAATTCTTGTCTTGTATTCTTGTGCCATATTGTGCTCATTTGAATATGGATGAGTATGTCTATAGACATACACTAGGTTTGATGTCTACAAAATTGGAAAATATTGTTACATTTATATTAGAGCTTAAGTCTGTTATGGAGGCCAAGCCAAATCATATGAGCTAGTGAATTAATAAATCATTCTAATCTGAGTAAACAATTTGTATATGCCAGTTGACCTAGAATCGGAAGCAAAAAGCTGGGGAATTTATCTTTCACAGTTTCACAGAGACAACTAGACATTTAAACTACAACAAACAACAAAACAAATAAAAAAGAAGATACATCTTAATTAAATTATTTGAAAGACTAATGTACTTAAATGTAATTGTGTCCAGCTGTGGTCATTAAAGCCTTTTGTCTTGTTCTGAATTTTAGTGTTACCCAGAGGTACACAGATAATATTACCTTTGTGCTATCTAATACAGTTGTTTTTGGACTTTGTCCCACTTCGCATACTATCTGCCCTAAATAGTATGCCAGATAAGGTTTTTTTTTTTCATCCCAAAACATAATATGCTGAAAATGGTATGCCAAAGGTGCCAGGATGGTACACTATTTCTGGCAGATTTCTGGAGTTCATCTATGATTTTTGGGCTAATATTGCCCACAATCCATTGTGTCCTCTTTTTAAATTGTAGAAAAAAATAAAAAGGAATGCAAGGCCAATGCAGCCACATGTAAATGTATGAACCTAAAAGTTAAGCTAAGGTAATTATGGAGCTTGATACTAACACATTCAAATGCAAACAGCATGCGACAATACTAAACACGAAAAACTACATGTTTTCTACATATTCAAAAATGTGCATTTTCCAATCATCAGTGAAGTACATTAAGTACGAAATAGGGGTATACATGCAAATTGGGAGGGCGGCTTTGGGGGATTCTAGAGGCTATGTTTCGTATAATTCTATACAACCATATTGCTGCATTATGTAGTATGTATACTGTGCAGAATATGCAAATTTTATTGGCGACACTTGTATACAGACTAATAGGTCATGTGATGGTCATGTCAATGCCTACTATTTCACTAATTTTTTACAAAATTCAGTAAGTAGAAAGCTAGTATTCCATTCCGAACATAGCCACAGATCACAGTTTAGGATTGTGCAAATTGTTAGTGGGAAAGTGGGAAAATGTTCACACAAGTAAGCATTAGGGTCACCTTGTGGCCTGAAGGAAACATTTAAATACTTTCACTAATGGTAAAGTAAATTCCTGTGCTTTGATTTTATTTTAGGGACTAAGTGGTGCTTATGTAATAATTAAAGTGAAAACTTAACTTTTTAGATTGTATTATCTCTTGTGGCCCAGAAGTTACGTACTAAAAAGCGGGAGAAATAAAATCCTATTTAAATAAATTTAAATAAACCCAGATATCTTTCTTTTCCCCAAAACAGAGCTCTGAGTAGCACTTGTAAACCAATCAGCCAGATGCACTAAGTAAAATTTGTCATTACATAAGTTCTTCCCTTGTCTTTAAAATTTTTTGGGGGGTAAACAAGGCTTCTGTACAGATGATCTTTATTAATAACAGTCCTCTGGATGTTTTGAGGTGTGTTTTTTGTCTTGTTTAGAGGACCTTCGTCCACGTCTGACTATTGACTGCTTTAGGATGTGTCTTGAGGGATCTTTTCCGGAGCTTGTCGATTGTTTTGCCTGTTGAGAGAGGTAATAACATTGACACAAAACTTTTGTTGACTTTGAAGTTGGAACTTTACTCTATGAAGCATAACATAGTAACTTTACTTTGTCCTCTAGTGTGAGTGGCAAATGCTTACCTCCTGTACATTCCACTTTAGGCTCCTGCCACTGACCGTCAGGTAAGCAATGCACCACTGAAAGGTGGCGCTGTATGAATCCACTGTCACACTGGTATCGAATGATGGAATTAACAGGGTAGCGATCTTTGCTGTTGCCTAACATTCTGGCATTCTTCACTTCAGGAGGTGATGAACATGTGACTACAATAAAAAGAGTCAAACAAAATAGAAAGAAACAAAGAAATAGTAGTTCCTTTAAATTTACAATATTCATTGTCCATTGGTAATTAGACCAAAGTTGTTTGATGTAGCTGCGTTATAATTACAGTAAAATAACATAATAAATTCAATAGCTATTGTGATAGGCTAATAGCTCACTTTGCTAATTGGGTAGGACTGACTTGGTGCTGAAGCTAATGTCTATCACTTCTTCTTACCAGGTCCACTCTTGCAAGTAAAAGGAAGATGATAGTTGCAGGGTACATCATTCCACTGGCCATCCTCATGCCATATCATTACAACACAGTCTTCTCCTGTGCTGAAGTAATTGTCTGGCTGATTGGGTCTCCAGTTTTCATATTCCTGTAGAGAAAGTAGCACTGGTTGAAATAATGACATATTGCAGATGCCTCAGAACACAGTCATCACTCAATTTGGAAAGAATCTCAGAGAAAGGTGGTCTCACCAAAGGGCTTCCGTCTGTCCAACGAAACTGATTTTGCACATCCTTGTCATTTAGTCCAATCCACTGATAGTCGTGAACTTGAGCTAGGTGGTTTAGAAATGTATAAGCACTTTTATTTAGATAAAAAAGCAGGTACATGTATTTTATTAGAAATCAGATTAAACTCACTTTTTACAAACTCTTGTTCTTCTTGGGAGGATATGCTAACCAGGTGAGAGTTTAGCTCTTGACAGTGCTGCTCAGCACTGGTCCAGGTCTCACGCTCATCAAAATGGATATAACAGCTGCCCATGAACTCCATCCACCCCTCAGCACATCCCTGTACCGCTGATAACACAGAGGAGACAATGAATTTGACTAGTTTTTATTATGTGTTCTTTAAGGGGTGGCTAGTTACAGAAGACTAACAAGACTGACAGGCTGCATTCTAATTCACAGCGTCCCTATGCAGTTTTCACTGCTCCCCACACACTGAGCAGGGTATATCTGTGTCCTTGGCAAAATTAGTTCCTTTCAAATGACCTAGTAAATCATCATTCATATGTGCGCCCTATAGTTTATAATTTCATATAAGAAAATCAAAATCCCCGTGAAGTCCGGTTTGATTATACCCTTACTTGCCGGTATGAAGTAACAAGGCAGTAAGACAAAGGTGGTTAAAACAGTCCTTCAGTCACAATAAATACATAGCACGATGGTATGTTTGTGGACAGTTATTTTTAAAATGCTCATTCTATGACTTTTCACTTACGTGTTGAGCAGTTTTCCCCGCTGAATCCTGAATGACACTGACATACTGTAATGCCATCTTGTAGAGAGCATAAACCTTGACCACAGGGGTTTGGATCACAGGGGTTAGCAGAAGCTGCCATAGACAGACATGTTCATCTTAATTAAAATTTTTAAAAAGTATGTTGTTGTACACCAGTTGAATAACATCAAAATGAAAGTTTTGTTAAGTTATTACCATCAGTAACAGATGGCTCCTCCATAGCTTTTGGTGTCTGTAGTGAAGCTGAAGAAGTAGTGAGTATAGAGGTGGTGGGTGGTGTTGTGTTCAGTGGTGACTGATCAGTCACATCAAATGCCTCTGTGATGACATTAAGTTGCTCATATCTTTCTGGTATGAGATCAACGGTTTCATTGGCACTCCAATAATCTTTATATAAAGTACTATTAGAAAGAGATATGGAGAGGTCCTCAGCATAATGTTCTTGACTACTGCCCTCTCCACTGATCTCCACTGATCCACGACCCTGTTCTGTTCCGATTGTAGGCCTAAATGTCAACTCGACCTCATCGTCCGTTAGAATGATAATCTTTACATCTTGACTCTGAATGTGGCCAGATACCTCACCTGAGGGATGACTGGGATAAACTGAAGCTCCAGAAGCAGAGCCAGATCCAAAGCCAATGGCAGAGCCAGATCCAAAGTCAATGATGGTTCCAGATCCAAATCCAGAGGCAGAGCCAGATCCAGATCCAGGAGCAGAGCTGAAACCACTAACATCAGTCAAGTCAAATGGAGAAACACCAGACAATTCCTGTTCTCCAGAAGGTCTTGCAGTCAGATCAATAATTTCTGTGTTTATAAATGACACACCAAAGAAGCCTGATCCACTCGATTCCACACCACTGAAGAATCCACTTGTTCCTGAACCACTAATTCCACTGCCAAGTCCCGATGGAAGGCCACTAGCTCCACTTTGTTCATGAAAGAGTCCAGACTCCTCTCCAGATTCTTGGTCCCCTGATTCTATTCCTGAAGTAATGATAACACCACTGCCACTGCCACTACCTTCTCTTACCTCCAAAGCACTGCCGGAGGCAGAAGTCTGCCACATGATTGTATCTGCACCTTCTTGGTACCTCACAAGGTGACCTGATCCATCACCACTTTGGCCAGAACCGGATATGCTTCCACTGGGTATGCCACTCCCTGACATGTACCCGGAACTGGAATCAGGATCACCTGATACTGAGCCTGAGCCTGATCCAGATCCAGACAGGTCCACAAACAAGGGAGGGACAATTGGATGAACTGTAACACACATCACAGAAAGTTGGCATGCTTAAATAAGACAGTAATGCTGTAAAGATTAGCAGTAGCAAGTGGCAATATCCAACATATGTCATACCAGGTCTAAGCAGCTCTGTTATGTCCGTCATGTTAAGATCCATCCCCATCCTTGTAGCATTCAACATTTCTTCATCAAGCAGCATAGACAGATTTGCTGAAAAATAAACAATAATCTCTAAGATCAACATCCAGTCTTGCCTTTCATTGCAAACTCATAAATACAGGCTTAAATGTTTCTATACCTTTGATGCAATATGCATCATATCTGGAGTATGGGTTCGGGAAGCCTGTTTGATTTGGTTGTGCATAAATAGTGTGCACTCCTGACTTGTTTCCACCACAACCAAAGCCTGGGTTGTGGACAGGATAGCGGACACTGCGATCAGAGAGCCAGCCGGGACTGCACTTCTGGAAACCCTGATTCCATGCGGCGTAGAGTTCTCCAGTTGAGGCAAGTGTAGAACCCAGTTTTCTGCAATGGTCAACAGCTTCATAATAGGTGAAGCCTGCTAATGAACTCACATGGAAGATCTCCCCTAAGGGATAGAGACCAAACAGTGAGATCATAGATGATTAAATAAAAGTGTTCATCGTTATGTCATGAATTATTTTGTACTCACCCTTTATCTGGTCCATGTAACAGTACACATCGTACCGCTCATGTGCAGGCCTAACATTGTAAGAGCGAATGCCAGGAAGATCCTCCTGGTCTCCAGAGCAGTTCTTTTGTGGATGCACAACTGGATACCTGAAAACGGTGTTGAATGCTATATAAGGTGTCAAAAATATTTGATCCAGGATTCCAGTTAATTCAACATAAAAAAAATAAATGCAGTTAGAAACACATAGGGCAGCACTTTGTAAAAAAAAAAAAAAAGAAAAGTTTACCTGACAGACTGGTCATGTAGCCAACCTGCACTGCATTGATGAAGGCCAGCTTCATAAGCAGCCTGAAGAAGCTCAGGGGTGGCTATGATTGCTCCCAACTTCTGACATGCCACTTGTGCTTCCTCAAAGGTGTAAGCATAGCGTCTGGAGTTAGTGCGATAGTGGAATACCACTCCCTTAGTTTCTAGGGTGAGGAAAGATTTGGCCATATTTAAACTCTACTGTTTGCACATGGGATTAATATCTGCTTTGAAAATTTGTTGAGACACCTTTTATTTTGTCCCTGTAACTCTTGTAGATCTTTGTTTTGGTTCAATTACTTTGCTCAGTTACCTTCAGTGGTGTGTGGGCTTTTACACTGCTAATTTCATGTGGCTATCTCGTACACTGGATCCAGTTTAGTTTACTTACCAGCAGTGACATTGTCCATGGGAATCTCATATCCCAGGTAAGGCAAAGCTGTGGCCACATTGATGATGTCCTCCTCAACCTCAGTTATGTTGGGAGGTAGAGGTAGAGGACTTTCTATGCTTGTGGTGTTAAGAGGCTCATCTGTCACTAGCTGGCCACGGACCTCCCCTTCTGTGGTCATCTCTTCAGTATAGTCTGAAGGGCTTGAGGTGACTGTAGCCACACTGAACATGGAATCCGTTGTAGTGTCTAATTCAGGAAATGGTGAGGTCTTTGTTGAAACCTTATCTTCTTTTTCTGAAAAATAATTAATAGAATGCTTGTGAGAATTGACAGTCTTTTGAATTATAAGAGGACACAGACTTCGTTGAATGCTAAAGTTTGGAACAACAAAATGGTGAGTAATACGTTTTTCCATTTTGAGTTTCTGTTTTTAGTGACATTATTGGCGCTTTTCCACACTAAAAAAAGTACCAGGTACTGTACCCAGTGGAAAACCCCCCAAAAGTGAACCGTACCGAGCCGTACCGTGCCGTACCATGCAGTGGAAAAGCGCCACATGATATGGTTGTTCTGAGGTGTGTAAATGTGAAGTGATTTAGCAAACAAAGTACAAAATATATGAATTACATTCTCTGTGCTTACCTACATAACAGATCGCATCATAGTGGGAGTCTGGGTATGGATAGCCAGTCTGATTAGGAAACAAGTAAACTGTTCGCATTCCCAAAAGCCCCCCACCACACTGGGGTCGAGCTATGTTAATGGGGTACCGCACACTCCTGTCTGCTAGCCAGCCAGCATTGCACACATCCAGGCCAGCCTTCCATGCTAGGTAGAGTTGCCCTGTGGTGGCCAATTGGGCTCCCAACTTTGCACACTGGTCTTCAGCTTCTGCAAAGGTGAACTTCTCCACAGACATAGAGTAGAACACACCGCCTGGGTGATGAGAAGAATCCATAAAGTAAAAACACAGCAAAATGCACTAACTGGTTACATTACAGTTTGGAAACACTGCCTGAAGTACCTGACATTTTCTCTGCAAAACAATACACGTCATAGGTCTCATTGATGTCTCTGACTCCATATGTTCGTACCCCTGGGAAATTTTCTTTGTCTCCATAGCAGGGCTCCCTTGGCTCATGAATAGGATACCTATAGAGAATTGTATAGAATTATTAATTTACTTTAGTAATTTACTAAATGTTTCTTAAATATATTAATATTGTTTCCATTGTATTCACTGTAGTCCACTGTATCCTTACACCTGCTTGTAACCACCCATGTTTGTGAGTGGTTTTTATTTATATTGTTATTAGATATTGACCTTTTCACATTACCTCACAGTTTGGTCTGAAAGCCAACCAGCATCACATTGATGGTATCCATCATCATAGGCAGCTTGCAACTGTGCGGGAGTTGCAATAACAGCACTGTTCTGGAAGCAGGCTGCCTTTGCCATCTCAAATGTCAAGGTATATCGGGTAGATATTGCTCGGTAGTGAAATACAATGCCTGTAAAGATTTGACCCATTTTTTAAATTCTCACTGTCAGTTATTTATTTGTTTAATGAATGTGTTTTTTGTCTGAACAGATTATTGAGCATTACCTTGAACTTGCATTTCTACAGAATCATAGTTATCTTCAATCCCCTGCATGACCTCACAGCGGTAGGTGCCAGAGTCACTGGAGTGGAGTTCTGAGATCTCAATGGTACCGTCTATTGGCACCATGGGATAGTTTACCATATGAACCCGGTCCATGTAGTCTGTCTCAACCTGCACCATGCCCCCACTGGCAACGAGAATAAGAGATATACTGCCCTTGTAGATGTAGCTCCACTTAATACGGTGGGACAGTGGGGCAGTGGTTGGGGCGCCTGGGTCCTGGACAGTGTTGTCCTGAAAGTAGCAAGGTATGACCATGCTTCCCCCCAATATGGGACGCAGTGGCTGTTCCACAGGGATGCTTACACTCAAGGTGCTGTCCTGATCTGTAAAACATAATTTTATTTTTAAATTCTTTTTCACTTAAAAGCTGTAAAACTATCTTTATAGCAATCTAAAAAGTTCACCTACCAGCCATGTCTCCGAAAATGATCATACCAGAAATGTCATGGATGCATGCATACAGCAGGAGCCAAATCAAAGACATATTTCACCTTAGGAAATATAGAAAAAGAGTGGATGCTTTACATTATTATATATATAGTACCACACACATTTTACTAATATTCAACAGTGATGCTTTGAACTAAAGCCTAAGCAGCTAAAACAAGATAGACTGTCAGAAAAATATGTGCAATTGTACTTTTAGGGGTTGTCACTGGGATAGTACCCTTGAAGGTAGGGTAGGCGATTTCGGAAAGGATAGCAGTAGCAATCTAGCTTTGAAAGCAAGATCCCACCCTCCCTGCATAATCACTCTGCAAAGCCACGCCTCCTCCAAAACACATGAAAGTGCACAGGCAGAGCAGAGGCTAACCATCGTCACGATGAGAGACAGCGTTGGTGGAGGGTTGAATGCTACTCTGTCAGATTACCTCATGTCTCATTCACCGGTGAGAAAACATTACAGTACAAAGCGTATAATATTACAATAATAATGCCTTCCATGCTCGCTCGGTCTGCAATAGCGTAATGAATGCGCTGATGATGTATCATGTCTGCGCAAACGGTGCACGGAGGTATGCAAATACATATGTTGACAGGCAGGTAGGACAGCCTATCGTAATCTTCGGACCGAACAACCTGATTGGACGAACATTTTATGGTCCTACACCTTTCACAGACAATATAAATACATTTAGACCACTTAACTTAGTGATTGAAGAGACTTTCAACCAGCACAACAAAAAAATGTTTTTGAACCAAATCACCTATCCTGCCTTTAAAGGCACAACTTTGTTTCTAATACCCCTAAAAGGTGCATATTAGAAACTTAGAGTAGGGGGTAAATAAGGTACACAGATGTCCCTTTAAGACTGTTGTACCCCTAAAGGTGTAGCATATAGGGCACAGACTGAGCAAATCACTCAAGCCATTCCAGAGTGAGTTTCTTCCTGTTTCCAAGGCTTTACACAGCCTGGCTGAGCTACTGTACTCCTGGTGGAAATTTGGAATAGATTGGAAACATGACGTCATTAATTCACTCCCCCATTTAAATGTTCACACATACACTCTTTTTATCTCCGCCTGTCTCTAAAGAATAATAGTTCACTGTTTGAGCCACAGGAAATATTCTGGGCTTGGTAAGTTGAATTTTAATTAGTGGTTACTGTGAAATCTGCTGGGAAAAATATATTTGCCTGTATGTTTTATAAATGCTCAAATTCAGTTTGATAATGAGCACAGTGCATCATTCACTACTTTGCCTAAATTTTTCCCTCTTGGCTATTGCTCAGGTTTTCTGAATCAAGCTGTTTTAAATGCACTGAGTGACTGTAGGAGACCTCCATCCTGGCATGGCCCTGAAGTAGCTTTTTATCTCCCACCTCGAATGCCTTGCTTACTTCTGTTTTACTGGTTTATATGCCAGTAGCATCAGAAGTAAGAACAAAAGACAAACAAAAGTAAATGAGAGCTTAAACATGCTTTCACTGCAAAAAAAGTAAATCGTTTTGTTTTTTTATATATGAAATACTGTTTATTCTATTTTCAATAGATTCTTTGCAGAAAATATGTTTTTCACATCACACACCAACACATGCAGATAGGTAGTGTGAGGTGAGAAGCGCCACATTCAACATGCTTGATAGACGAAAATATGTTAACTCAGCTGTCTGAGGTGAGTCATGAGGATCTTCTCTGTCACAAAAACAAAATGACATTCTAGTCCAGAAGAATAAATATCATCTGACAGTGAACAAATGATGATAATTTTTTACAACCAAAAAATACTACTGCATTTTATAAATAGGAATACAAATGGTTTCTTTATTAAGTATATCTGCCTACTGTCTAGCTTCAGTTCTAGTCTTAAAAGTGAACTGTGTCCCGCCTTCTTTAAAATGACCAGTCACATGTGCCTTTCAAATGCTGTTTAAAAAATGCGACTTGATGTCTACAGTTATATTCTGGTCTTGTCAAGCAGGGGTGGAGAGAGGACTTCCACAGTATATCCATTCAGCCAAAGTGGTATGTTCTCTTCCCATCAGGCACAGGCCAATAAGCAGAGTTCTGTTCCTGCTGTGGTCTGTGCTCATGGACGCAGACCTGCATTAAAGCCAATGTAAATAATCTGCTGTATTCCACAGGAGGCCCTAAATCACCAAAACCCCAAGAGAGCCACAGGACCAGAACACTGTCCACATTCAACACACAGAGTGGCAGGTAAGTGAGTCTAGTACTGTAATACGGTATGGTGAAAGTATTTCATGTTAATACATAGACATACATATAATCTGTAGGCATCTGGTCATAGTTCACGACCAGTATGCACACTTGCAATAATTTTAGAAAGGTGTTTTACCTATGACACACCTTGCTGCCCGGCCATATCAGGAGAATTTTACATCCAAGATGAAAACTTAGAAAATAACTAATATTTATTTGTTGCAAATTAATAAACTGCAACATTTACCTTGCATTGAAAATATATACAAAAAGAAGCAAAGGCCTTTCCAATCACTTACTCAAACACCCAAATTACCCAAACTTCAATGTAATTACTTTCCCCAAAATGAGAAAAGAGTAGATGCCAACTAAAATTAAAAGGCAAGCATGCCAATATAATACTGGTTAAATACTAATATATTAAAAAAACATATCCATTCCATCTGTTCATCCAGTTTAATTTGATTGTTGAATTATTTCATGATTCTAATTAACATGCTTTATAAATACTGAATATTAATAAAATAATATATTTTATAGAAAATAATAATATTAAAACAACAGAATATTAGAGTTGCTAGTCATGTAATCAATAAAATGGTATTTCTAAACTTAAAAACATATTTCTAAACTTAATAGACAAATAAATAAAAAATATGATGTGCATACATATATTTAATAATGCATTTAACAGCGTTCGGGCTATATTACAAATTTCAACAATAAATAAAAGCATTTTATTATTAAAAGCTTCAAAAAAACTTACCAAACTAGTAATGTCCCTTCTTGCTTGTCTTAGTTGCTTTTTGCAATGTCCTTGTGTCTTGCATTAATCTGTCGGTTGGGAAATTTCTAAAATCTGGTGTTTTTAGACTGCTTCCTTCCCTGTGTGAGTCAGGAGCAGAAAGGGATCTAATTCAAATTGGGCACAAGTTTAGTAGTGAGCAGGGGAGAGAGACAGAAAAGGGGAGGCAGAGAGGTGGGAGTGGGGACTATTGAGTGCCACTAAGTGGCATTTTGATTGTTCGAATCACAACTTTAGACTGGGGTTGATAGGTTGCAGGGGTTGATTGACACATTATTCAGTTCTGGGCTGTAACAAGGTGCTGTCACAAAAATGTAAATTTTTTTGCCCTCTTTACCCACAATCATTGATTCTGTAAATACATTAAAAGCTCAAAGTGTGTCAAAGTGAGTATAACTTTTCAATTTTTGTGTGCATTTTTGCTTTAACAAAAATGAACACCTTCCCCTCAGCTAAAAATGTAATTAAAAAGAATTTACAGAGAGATATTTATATAATTTACATTACATTTACATTTAGTCATTTAGCAGATGCTTTTATCCAAAGCGACTTACAAATGAGGACAATGGAAGCAATCAAAATCAACAAAAGAGCAATGATATACAAGCGCTATAACAAGTCTCAGTTAGCTTAACGCAGTACACTTAGCAAGGGTTTTTTAAATAATATAATAAATAAAAAGAAATAGATAGAATAGAAAAAGAATAGAGCAAGCTAGTGTTAGAGGTCTTTTTGCTTTTGTTAATTTTATAATAAATGAAAAGAAAACAGATAGAATACAAAAAGATTAGAAAGCAAGTGTTATTTATTTATTTATTTTTAAAGAAAACAAGCAGCAAATGAATAGAATACTGGAATGAAATGTTATATCAATGTTAGTTAATGGATATGGTAGTCAGTTATATTTTGATATATATTTGTATATAATATATGTATATATATATATTAAAAAATAGGACAAATTTATTGGCATTAATCTGTCTTGGTTATTCATTTTCATTTGCAGCTAGTTGGTTTATCTTAATGTTTGTTTCATCTGAGATAATCATCAAAAAAATAAAATTGTACCAACCAACCCCAGTTTTCCCTTACCCATAATACATTTTTCATTCCAGTATTTTAGATCGCTAATATTATCTACCTAGGTCTTTTTAATTAGGTTTTTAATTTAACTTCACAAGAAACCAGAAGAGGTCATAGGGTTCATTGCTTTCTTGCTTCATGTTTGTTTACAATTAGAGTAGGGAATATCATAAAATGTGCATAGTTTATTAGTCTTTATCAGTTTGTGCTTCAGTTTCCTGTTTAGTACAGGTTTTATAGCTCTATTGTGGGCCTTTGGTGTGGTATATTTAGAGACACTGGTGAATCTTGCAAGAATCTCTCAACCAAATATCAGTCTACGTCTGATGGTGCTGGAATTTCACAGTTCAAACTTTAAAGTGATGACTCACCAACTGAAGCTGCTATTCTGCACGTTTTTGAAGTGTGAGATACACCTTTAAGACTCTCCTTTCCTTATACAGTATGTGAAGAAACTTGCTTTGCCTAATAGGCAGTTCATATCCTTTACCCAAACAAGTTGGTTATCTTGACTACGCAACTGAACTTGCTCGCTAAGGGAGCATAAATTCACTGAAACAATGTGATGGAATCCATCACTCATACTTAGGTTATATATGGTCAAGAAATGTGAAATTATATTGTTTTAAACCCATGAGCCCAGCCCCTTCTGTGCAAGGAATTTGTCACAGGAAGTGTAATAAGACTGCTAATTATGTAAGAGAAAACTGCAACGGCCAGCATTTCAGACATTTAACAGAGCAGAGATTCAGTAGAAGTTACATAAAATTGCTTGGTTACACTTTGAATGTTTTTTCCCCTCCTTTTCTGCCGATTTAACCATTTGTCTTCTTCAGATTGTTCTAGTAAACGTTTCCCACAGGTACTTTCTACACTGTAAAAAATGATTGTGATTTTAACAGTAAACGAATGTAAAAACAGTAAAAATGCTACAGTAAAAACCTGTTAACTGGTTAACAGTAAGTTTCCATACTATATTCAGTGAATAAATGTAATTACATTTAATTTGATTCTACTGTAAAATAATGTTAAAAATACGGTTTTTGGAAGTGAAAAAGAAAAAGTCATTGTATAATTTACAGTGAAAAAACGTAAATTGACACTCCCAGAATTCCCTGCATGACACTTCATATTTGATGTTTTTTTGTTGAAATAACATGTTTCTTTTTAGTTTGTTCTTATCAGTTGTGTACACTAGGGTTTAATCTTACATCTAATGTTGTTAAATTAATGTTTATTGCATTATTTCAGTATCATGTGTGTCACCATGATGGTGTTTAGTGTTTGTGTGAATGACACTGTGCACCT